TAGGGTGCAATCTAGATAAGAAGCATTTCCAAAAATATACATCCTTACTTTTTACAGGATCTTGTCTCATAAATGTTTCTTAGCCAGCTTTCTTCAAATCTGTCTTCTTTGTTCCCTGTGAGGGTGGTGAGGCTGTGGCACAGGGTGCCCAGAGAAGCTGTGGCTGCCCCATCCCTGGCAGTGTCCAAGGCCAGGCTGGATGGGGCTCTGAGCAACCTGGGATAGTGGAAGGTGCCCCTGCCCATAGCAGGGAGTTTGAACAAGATGATCATCAATGTCCCTTCCAACTCAAGCCATGCTATGATTCTGTGTTTTTAGAATCTTTGCCAAACTAAGACAGAGAAACCCACAGAAATCATCAAGGACTACCTCAGCCATCAAGGTGGCTCCAAATTTAAGCAAAGGAGGGAAAAGGACTTCTTAATGTGAAAGGTTAATTAAGTCTTCATGTAACTTCCACTAAGCCTAAAAATACAGTCCATTTTGCAGATTTGCCTCAACAGTTCAACACTTGTCATATATAATTCCTCACTTAACAAGTAGTTTTACTGAAGTAAGTGGGTGTACTTAAGAAATAAATATTAAACAGGGAAGAAGACTCAAGACTGCTGGTTGAAAATTTGGTTCTTTCAGTTCTGAGGTACATACCTACAGGAAAACCTTCCACAGCCAAGACTCAACACATTCTTCCACCCATCATTAATGCCTTGGATGTAATAAACTGCATTTGGAAGAGCCGCCTGGAGTCCCGCATCTCTCATTCAGGCTCTTACAAATGTATTTCCCAAAATCCTGACTACAGTTTTCACAATGAGGACTGGCCAAACCAGTCAGGAATCCAGCTCACCAGTTCCCAACAACTTCACGTTACCAGAATCAGATGTTGGAAACTTTTGTTGCTACTGACCTGGAATAAGTAAATGGAAAGACACCATAACCTACCCATCCCCAGATTTTTTCAGCATTGATTTTCCCATAGAAATCAATAAATTTTAAGAAAACTAAAATACAAAACCTATAATGTAAAATACATAGATCCTGACCAAAATTCTCAACTTCTACAGAGATGCTACCTACCATCTACTACAGCTATAGAATAGAAATTACAAGACTCATCCATTTGGGCAAACCTCTTTTCAAGTAATTTTTCTTAGAACCTGAAAATAACTGTGATTTTGAATCGGCATAACTATTGAAAAAGTCTGATTGTTAAATATAGCTTTACTATCAATCTTTGCAAATTTACACTTAAATAGTGATGAAAATTAAAATATACAGAACCTAAGCTGGTATTCAGTAGCACTTTTTCTCTACAAAAGATTTACAGGATCATGCCCCTAATGCTTGATAAAACTTAAACATATTTGTTTATACCAATAAACTGTCAGTCTCAGGCATCATGACTGGCTTTCAGTGTTCGTCAAAACTGGAATTATGAGCTACACTTCGAAGCCGTAAGCTCAAGGAATGAAATACATGTTCTTACTGAATTAAACTTATGCCTAGACATTTGTGATCCCTGACTGGAAGCTTTAAAAAAACCACTCAACCAATAAACAAACACAAAAACCCGAACAAAGCCCCACAACTTCTATAAACTCCAAAATTTAAACTTCCATACATTCACAATATAGACACAAAAATCACAACAGAAACAATAATATCTTTCTGTTTGTTTGTTTAAAGAACAACAGTGTAATGATTTTTGCAACTCAGGGAAGCTATTTTTTCTTTAGAAAGGAGCTATGTTAACCTGCACATCCCTAGAGTAATAATGTCTTGGAGGGACACCTACCTGCAATATTCTGCAAAGGTTTGGTATGACTGTTATAAGTAGTGGACCTGCCAGAGAGGATGCTGCAGTCTGGAGAGATGTGGGAGAATGGAATCTGACCTCCTCTAATGGCAAGAATTCACCCTCACACCTCCCTGACTGGAGAGAGAGGTCCCACCACCCTGAAAGAGGGCAGGGAACAATCCATCTGTCTGTGTTTTATGGAAGTTACAAATAAGAAAACACTTGCTGGAAAAAAATCAACAGACCATTCTGATTTTAGAAATTGCCATCACATTTTCCAAAATCTAAAAAAGCTGACTGCGGTAATTCTTACCTTCACCCTTTTTAATAGTCTAAGAAACCAATATTGTAAATTAAAAGAGACAATAAAAAGCCAGGACAGCTAACTAATAAAACAACTAACATGTTCTGAGCAACACAGTTTTAAAAGAGAGAATATCTGTGTAAAAAGGGAAGGGAACCCTTGCATGTACAATCTTATAATTATTATAAAATGGAAAACCAATGTATACCTACAGCTTTGCACGGTGAATAGTCCTTACTCTCAGAGTGAGGGGAGATCTAGAAAAAATTCCTAAGACCAATTTCTGTGCTTGCCTGTTAATTCCTCAGGATCCCTACTGCATCCTGGACAAGACAGATCCAGACTCCACAGGACCCAGGGAACACCTGTGCTTCTGGACCCATCCTTGGGATCATCTACAGTCCAACACACAGGCCCAGAAGTTCCAGCCCCGCACCTCCCCATCAGTGGTGCAATGTGCAACTAAAGCGATGCTGGTTGATTCATGTGCGGTTCTCCTTAACAAAACGCACTCCCCTGTTTTGCTTGAGTTGTGATTTTCAGACATGAAATATGTTCTTTGAACATGAAGCTCTGTGAGCTGGGTGCTCAAAGATAGTCAATAGGAGTTATTAAACTCCTTCAACTTCATTCTTGTAACACATGCATCTTTATAGCTCATGAGTAGGTGAGTTTGCACGTCCAGAGAAAGCAGGAGGAAAAGCAAGATGCTTGGACACATCAGTTAAATATTCAGGATCATGCTGTCTTAAGTGCAAAGCACTTAAAGTACACTTTGTGTAGTTTATAATTTCTCAATCAGAAAGGAAAAGGGAGGTTGAAGAAAAGATCTGACCATTCAAAGGCATCCTTTTATTTTACAAAGACTGTATGTAGAAGACCTCTCCAAGAGGTCTTACAGCTATTTCTACACAAAGACACATTGTCTCATCACAGTTTCAATGCCTTTTTTTAAGTCTAGACAGCACAGCCAATACCTCCAGACTCCTGTAAGATTGCAAACAGGACTGACAACAGTCTGCAACAGCAAAAAAAAAAACCTCTCCAAAGCTTTCTAGACATAGAGTTAGTAGAAAAAGGGGGAAAACCCCCACCAAACAAACCAAACCAACCCACAGGTAATTAACAAGAGAACGTCCATGGATTGTCATATCCTGACCTGAACTGGTCAGTGTTTGAAAGGTAAACATCCATGGAGACAGCTACAGCAGGAAAGAAATTTAAATAATCTGCACACAGGCTGAAGGCAATAAAAAAAAAAAAAATCACACCTTTGTTCTGTGTCTTTTTTGCTGAAAGAATGTGAGAAAAAAACAGGTTTGTGACAGAAAGTTTCCAACAAGGCTCCAGTACGTGGTTGAGCACTACTAAAAAAGCTACCAAGCTTCCATTTGTAGGGTGCTATTTGCAACATTCCTTCACCCATTTATTTCAAAGCAAATTCATTGATTTGCATGGAATTACTAAGGAAATTCACTTCAACTGAGAGCAGGTCTGTTTGCACTTAATGGGTGGTTCCTTCATCTCTTACATAGCTTGAAAGGAAACCCTTCTGCAGAAATAAAAGGGAATTAAGGAAAAACATTATTTTATGGGTAATAAATGTGAGTAAAAACATTAAACAAGATGTATAATCAGGATTAAAGGCTTGGGCAGAGTGACAACTAAGCAGAAGAACTACATCTGCACGTCCCATGTTTCAAATATGACAAGATTGTGTCTGGAGTCAAACTGTGTCCAGAGCCATTTAAGAAGAGAGTCTGCAATGCAGTCTTTCAGGGACAAAAAAGGAAAACATAATTCCAAGTGTCTGGACATACAGTCTTTTCTCTAGTGCTGAGGAGGGACTGCAGCCAGCTACAGCATGATTTGATGTGCACTGCATTGCAGAAAATACTTCCAGAGGGTGTCAATAAAGTCTGCTGGCAGTGATGGAGAGAAGATCAAGAGAACCAAGCATATGACTTATTGGTTCAGAGATGACAATGACAGTCTACACCTCTCCAGAGTGTGTGAACCTCAAAGAAGAAAAAAGTTATGAAGAACAGCACACTCCTGCAGGGCATCTGTAGAGCCCTGAGCAAAATGACGATTAGAAAAACTCAAGGTTGGGAAAAGGCCTCCCAGAGAAAACACAAAATAATTGTTTCCAACAAGACAGCTCATCCATTTTGGTGCTGTGAGCCAGCTGGCTGGCAACACCAGCTACATATCAAAACAGAATCTGCTGTCAGTCAGTCCTGTGGACACTCAGCCCACACCACTGTCACACCTCTCTTCCACTCACACAGAAAAACTAAACTGCTACGTTTCAGCACCTTCTTGGCATGCTCATTCTTCAACCCAGTTTTAAACCATGGTAGCAAAGGCAATGGGACATACAGAATAGTCCTAGGGTTGTCAGAGAGGCATTGTGGTCTGGGGTCAAATTATTCTAATTTGACAAACACAGGCAGAGGATGGCCTCCTCTGGACTTCCTTTGGGTACTTCTGCCATTGTGGAACCAGAACCATCTCATTCTCCCTTTCACTGAAGTGCTAAGAAGATTAACAATCAGCTGTGCCATAGATGAGCCAACATAATCCCTGTGCCCAGCCAAATACTGCTTTCAACTCCCTTGAGATGTTCAGAGCAAGGGGCATTGAGGTTTAGAACCAAATTTGAAATAAGCAAAGGAGCAGCAACGCCAATGCAGTACCCACAAGTCATGAAGGATACAGCTCTGTTCAAAAAGGTTCCTTTTTAGCTGATCATCTAAATGCCCCTTGCAATGCATTCCTGTAGGTGGGCTGATGTGGGAAACACAACCTTGAAAGAGTATTGAGATTCTCCATAAATTATTCCAACTTAAAAAGCTAATTACCCACTGGAATAACAGTCTGTGCTGCTCATCTCACCTCCATCCTGAAACTTGCTCAGCCTTTCGAAGTATGACGATATGGGCACTTGAACAATATCTAGAATTGCCAGCAGTGTCCGGGTTAGTCTGAGGAGCTCACTAAAACTATAAAAGCCAAAGTATATGAGGTTTCGAGCCAGATGTACCACCTATGAGAAAAAGACATTAAAAATGAAGGAAGTACTGACAGCCTTTGTGGTTTTCAATTGCATTTCACACAGCAGCTTCCACTGTTCAGATTCAGATCTTGAGTGCATTCAAACTAGCACAAGTCTTGCTACTGATTTTCAGACTAAGGCCAGTGACATTAAATGTCTGTCAGGATTAGACAAAGCAATTGATCAATCAGGTTACAGCAGACAGCAAAACCAAGGTGAGATTTAGGAAGGTTTGAGAGGAAAAAATTGCATCTGTGAAAATATATAAGATCAAGAAGAAAGACTCTGGGAAATTATTTAAAGAGGCAGCAGCTTTGGAGAAGATTTTGGGGAAGTCAGCAGAAGAGTAAGATGATAGGTTTGCACAGAGGTGATTTCAGGTGACCAGAGGCAAAAGAAACAAAGAGAAGTAGGCTGGAGGAAGAACTATAAAAGCTGTAAGCATTTCCCCTTTATTCCCCTTTATTCTTTGCTATGAGAACCTAGAAAATCTAGGCCTATCTAAAGTTTCTGTCAGGAATTTCAAACAATGTTTAATCCACAGGATTAGGTTATCCAGGGTGTTTCATTGAGTGTAATACCCTATACAGAAAACAGCACTTACTTATACTGAAGAATCCTTACAAGTTATTTCACTAATGTAGAAAGAACAGGAAAATTCACCATTCATTCCCCAGAAATCCCCTCTCCCTCCACTGAGGGGTGGGAGCAACCACCCCAGGAAAGGAAACAAAGGTTGGAAAAATACAGCAGACAAGAATATTATTTTCTGCAATACCAGTCAGTACCAAGAACAATGGAATTAGGAAAAGATGTTTCTTTAGGCTATTTTACACCAACATTTATTCTGCAACTGGCTTTATTTTGAAAGAATCAATGCCATCTTATCTGAAATGAGGAATAATGTAAGTAGGATGCAGATAGCTGAGAAGTACCTCAAATGTAAGTTTGTTTTTCTCTTTGTCTCCAAATGGAAAGGGTTGATTCACAACTTCTTTCAAGTACTCTTCTACAAATTCCATTGTGAGTGCAAACTTTATCTTCATTTCATTCCTTGAAGAGTCAGTGAAGGAATCATACCTACAATACAAGGCACAGAAAGAAGGAAAATTAAATACCTCTAATATCAGGATCAGCTGTCCCTAAAGAAAAAAACGAACAAATCATGACCCTCTGAGATTACTCAGTTCAGCTCTCTGGAGATATGGAAAGTGCATGCCCAAACCTTCCCTTTAACAGTACCAGGAATGGGAAGAATACAGACAGGATAATACCGCTCTTGTGGCAGATAGGACTCTTAAATCTTGCTGTGGCAATTCAACGAGGTCATTAACAGAAACAACACTGCCTGCTGCACTGCTGTGCTTCTTCCTGTCTCTCCAGCCAGATATTCCCTGGCTGGGAGCATCCCAGTGCTGCTGCTCCATCAAATCGGTGAAGCCAGGCAGGGTTTCCACTGAAAACAATGGTCCTTTCTCTAAAATTAAATTTAACACATGCTTAAGTACTTTACTAAGTGAAGGCCAAAGCCTCTGTGAGTTGTTGGTGGACAGAGGCTGTGTCTTAATTCTGGGTTCCCAGCTGTGGCTTTCTGTTGAACTTGGGGTATAAAACTAAGATCCAGCCTAGCAAACCTGTCATGTGAGACACAATGGGATTACTTGGAGTGCAGCTGGTCTGAGGAAAGGCCATTCCATCTTCCCAACTTGTTCAATAAAATAACATAGTAAAAACTAAAATTTAAATATTTAACAATTGAAAGCTGCCCATTGGAGTTTCCAAGGGTAACAATAATTAATAGCTCCATGCTCTGCAACAAAATGCCTTTTCACACGTTTTGTGGACACTGGACATCTACAGCCATTTTGTGCTGAGACTAACCCTACAAAGAGCTTTTTTACTTTAGTTTGAAGCACTTTCAACTCACTCATGAATGGTGATCTTGGTAGGAATTTCAGTCCACAATCTGGCGTACTTGACAGGCACCACAGACTCCTGGGGATCTCTGTCCACATGCATGTGCAGCATCAGACGGCAAAAGGAAGCCCGCAGGTCATAGGGGAGGCTCTCATCAGACATACACCTGAGGATCAAGTCTACTGACAGCTGGGCAGAAATCTGGTTGATGGCGAGATACTGGCGGTCCAGGCACATTCTTGCAAAGAGGTTCAGTTGGTACCTTAAAAAAAAAAGGTAATAATGTGGTAATCAAGGAAATTGGTTGGGAATGAAAGAACACATCTCAGAATCTCATGTTACAAGCCTGTTGTGAGCCTGATATAAATCCTAAAAAATAATGAGTGATTTTGTTGAGCAAGGGAGCAACTTGACATTAAAACTATTTGTTCAATTGTTGTTTCAATTTTGTAAAACATTATTCCATGATCTCATTTCTTCTCTAATCCTCAAGACACTCAGGACATTCACTTCTCAGACCGTGCCTTGCTTCCAGGGCAGCATAACCTAAAATTAAAGCTCAATAAATAGAAGGTTAGAGGCAAAATAAAAGACACACAAAGATATGTGATAAGCAGAGAAAACTCAAGGTTTGCCTGGAGTAGGCAGCAGAGACTGTGATAACTCCCACAGGAAAAACTTGAAATGAATTCTTAGTCTCAGTTTCTGGCACGAAACTGATTTCATGGGTTTTTTTTGTTTTGGTTTTTTTTTTTTTTTGTTTTTTTTGTTTTGTTTTGTTTTTTGTTTTTTTGGGTTTTTTTTTGGTTTTTTTTTGGTGGTGGTGGTGGTGTTTTTTTGTGGGTTTCTTTTTTGGTTTGTTTTTTTTTTTTTTTGTTTTTGTTTTTTTTCCCACGATTCTGGTTTCCTTTTTTGATATTGCCAAATGAACTGGATAAGAACAGCACTGGGGTTCTTCAGAGAGTTTACATTTTCTTCCCTTTGAATAAGCAATTTTACCTGTAGTAGGTAAGAACTTCTAAATCAGCTTTTGTGCCCTCCTTTGCCTCCTGAGCTAGATGCCTGATGGCTTTGCCGTGAGGCTCCTTGTTGCTGTCGATCCAGTAAAGCCACACTTCCTCTTCATCAATGTCATCTGAGATGACTGGGCATTCCAGAGGATTGTCCATTTGTGTTGAAACCAGCCTGCAAACACAAACCACTCACAACAGAGCCACGAGTAAAGTGCTGGGAATTTAAGAGAGCAGACAACAAAAAGATGGCAAGTTCTGATTACAGATACTCACTTGGTCTGGATGAGAATGTCAGCATTTCCTGGGCTAAGCATAAACTTGCAAATGAGTTCCTGAGTTACTGGTATTGCTGTGGTGTTAGATACACACAGGTCTGACAGGTAATCCAAGAATCTGCAGTCAAAAAAACCACAGGTGCAGCAGAACATGAGACCTAAACTACTACTGGGGAACTGCAGTAGAAATCTCTAGCACTTAGCACTAGAGCATGGGTAGACTACAGGGATTCTGTATCATGATATTTATCAACATATGATCTTTGCCAGTTCAAGCTCTTGCAACTCACAACACCTTCCACTAGATCAGGTTACTCCAAGCCCCATCCAGCCTGGCCTTGAACTGCCAGGTAATGCTGGGCTACCAGAGAAGAGTGCAGACTGTCAGGACCTGCAGATAGGACTCTGCATTCAAAGAGGTCATTCCATGTAAAGCAGAAAGAACAAAGCTTTGCAAGGAAAGCAGCTGCCTATTAATTTGTATCTCAAATTTAGGTCTTCTGATGTTTAACAAGGTTCAGGCTGAGGCTTTCCTCACAGCTGGGACATTAATTAGGTACGTGGGTTTGTCTCTTTTCAGGGATTCCTGTATGTGCAGTAACAGTAACCCATTTTTCAGCCTTTGACACACTGCAATATAAAAAGGGCCTCTTCCTTCTATGTAGTTTCCACTTTCCATTATAGGAATTAAGTATCCCTGAGCCCACCACTCCTCTAGCAAATGTAGCTAAAACTGAGCAAGGTGCTCAAGAGCTGGTGGGAGAGCAGATGCGAACAGGCACACATACACAGATTATATATTCCACTTCTTTAGAAATCTAGGTACAAATTCTGACCATCTGCTATCAGCCATCCAAGGATCCAACAGTTTGAACCTCGAAGCACAGACCACAATCCCCACTGAAGTCTGGAAACTGTAGTGGGTGAGTACAGACAGGATTTTTAGGGTAGACTTAGGAAAAAATCCACCCACACTACTGAAATGAAACTTTGTGGCAACTGGTAATTAAAAGCGCATAGCAATCACAAAGTCAAAATTAAGCAAACAGCACATAATTACATGGAATTCTGGGGAAGTCACCTGGTTGGAGCCAAAACTCAGGAAGGTTTTTAATTTTGCAGTTTATGTGTTTTAGAGCAGAATGCCACAATTCTCATTCACCTCAACAGTGCTGCAAAAATCTACAAGACTCTCCATGAAAATCAGTATCAAGATCAAGTCTTTACTGTTCAGATTACACCATTCTGGCAAGGGGCAATTTTGAAACATTTATTGCTCCTGAACTCCTGAAGAAGTGGATACACAGCAGTTGCATGACGTGGTTATGGCACAAATTCCATTACATCCTCCACCACAAGAAAATGCAATGTGCGACTTTCAGTAAACATAGACCCTTCAGAGACAGAGCTGATCCTGTGATTTCCTCTTCATATTGACCAAACCCAACAAAGCTGAGCATGGGAGAGGCAATGAGATTAGAGAGTGAGGCCAAACAGGCGTATAGAAAATAATTGAGGCAGTGAAGCACCAAGGTCTTGAGCAATATATCCTTAAAAGCTACGTGGAAATGGTATTCACAATTACAGAGGACAATACTTGGCCTTCAGTATGTTCATTTTTACACTTGTATTACTTTGCCCATTTTACAACTGAAAATCCAATAATAAAGAGATTTTTCCATTTAAAAATAAGGAAATCCAAGTTCTTTTATATTCTGACCTAAAGCTTTTTTTTTTTTTACCCAAAAAATTTTAAAAAAAAAAAAAAAAAAAAAAAAAAAAAAAGTCAGCTGAGTGAAGTTCAAGGCCAGAAATTTTAATTTGGAACAAAATCCAGTTTAGACACAAGTTTATGGGATCTTCACTGTCCCAAGCCCTTTTCAGGTCTGACCTGGAGTCAGAACCTGCAGGAAAACTGATATTAATAAAAGCTTAGAAAAATTGACATGTGTGTATAATTTACACCAGGATTATTGGCAGGGGAACCAACACAAGTGGCAGTTTCACAGAGGAGCTGCAGAGCTGGGAGAAATTAAACTTTCTCTTAATTTCTCTTTGCCCCAGTCAGAACAGAGACCAAATTTTCAAGGTTGTCCTGCAAAATATAAGCTCTCTTTTCAGTAAGCCCTAGTTTTAAAATGTGGATATGGATAAATTGAAGAATTACAGATAGTTCTAATATTTTCTGTACAGGTGGGGTTTTTGTTTGCCAGGTCAAAACAGGGAGAAAGAGACACCAAAGCAATGAATAGCATTCAATTCACAGCTACTGCAAAAATGCCACATGGACCACTTCAAACCTTGGCTCTCGATTTCTTCTGAGTAAATTCACAAACGTCTCTATTTCTTTAGCTGTGATGTGTTTCTCTAGCAGTTTTCTGTTGTTGTGCAACAAAGCTGTGATGGTGTCTTCTGCCAGAATATCATAACCAATCTGGGACTGCATGACGCAGAAGTTCTTAGCAATATATTCCTGAAAAAAGAAAAAATTCCCATGATGACCTGCTGAGCAGCAATGCTTTCTCTTTTAGAAACAAGGGGCATTCAGCTTAGTTAGCAATCAAAATAACACTCAAAACTTTCCTCTCTGAACTGGCCAGAACAAAAGAACTTCTGAATACCTCAAATATGTACCCTGAGAAAAAGACTCCATATTAGGGATGACTAACTCATTCTTTCATAAACTGAATGAATTAATACATGAAAATATATATAAAATTAAAGAAATAGCAACCTCTTTTTTTTTTTTTTTAAGAAAAAACTGAAAGGTCTTTATAGTGTTTAAGAAGCTTTTTTCCTGAATCTTCCCTCCTCCTTTTCTCCCTTCAGGACAGAAATATTTCTGTAAAACGCTGGAAAGAAAATAAAGAAGCCACACTGAAGTCCCTTCAGTCCATGTTCTGAAATACCTCTTGCTCACAGGGAGTCTCCAGCAGTGGGAAATCAGGCTACCTTATATAACAACCTCTGCTCTGACTCACTGCCATCCCTCTACAAATATTTAAGCAAGAGAAACAGACAGTTTGCAGATTTCCCACTTTGCAATCCAGGCTCCAAGAACATATTTTTAATAACAGAAAGCTCATGAATGGAGCAATGAGCCCCAGAGTCTCAGTCTGAGTCTGCAAAAGTACAAAGAGGTCTTGTGGTATTCACTGTTGAACTTTCAATTCACACACTACTAAGCTACACACACAAAAAAAAGGCCTTTCCCCATTACCACAGAATCCCACTCCTAAGTGCAGAGCACCATGATAAACCCAGGACATATAATTACAGAAATCAGGAGGAAAATTATCTTTAATACCACTGACCTGGTTCTTCCTATAGTCCTGTTGGGAGTGTCTTAGAACTCTGTAACATAATCTTAACATGTATTTGTAGGGAGCATATCTCTGGTCACCCAGGTCCTCAAGTCTGAGCATTGATCCTTCACCTTTGTCCTTAAAAGGAGCTTTGAGGATGCCAAATATCTGTTCAGAATCAAAACCACTGAGAGTGAAAACCAGACCCAGATTTCTGCTTTACTTAGAGAATGGAAGTTCAGCAGAAATCAAAGACAATGGAAATGTCCTCTGACAGGATCAGCACAACAGCCTTGACTAAACACAAGTGGGGACACAATCTGAGACATCAAGACATCACAGCTTTATGCATTTAGGGTTAGCTTTACATTTCCCACCAACCTGATTGATATTGCTTCTTTACTAGCCCCAACTTTAAACAGTTTTAGTTACATGTCTTAACTTTGGATAATTTAATGATGAAAAAGGATGATGAAACACTGGCTTCTGTCCAGTCTCATCCTTTTCCCCCTTTTTTAAATTTCTTTCAGTTGACTTCTCAAAAAAGGACATTAATTTTATTTACTTGCAAGTTTGCCCTTGTGCAAACAAAGTCAGAGTTCCACAGGGGCACTATGTGGGGAACACTTCCAGGATTGGGACCATGTTCCATGTTTGTCTCAAATTTTGTGAACAATTTGCTCTCAAACATGATCTTAAATCTTATCAGAATCACAGGATATTAAGAGCCCTCTACAGCCCCTTGTGCTTGACTCTGCTTTAGGGACCAAGAGATGAGCTTTGACTAAGTAGTGTCATTTCTACCCAATCCAACAAGACACAAATCCAACCGGGCATAAGCCAACTTACCCAAAAATAACTTTTTCTCACATCACTCTCTCCTACAATCTGTTTGCAAATACAATTAAGTTATTAACACAGTAGGACATACCTGAGCCAATATATTTTGCTCCCTCATTAATTTCTGTCGTTCCCGGTTCGGCTTGGTAATGATCACATCCAAAACTTCTTGCCCGTTATTGGGCACATCAGCAACAAAGAAAATGAGGTCTTCCAGTAGCTTGGTTACAAACCTAGAATGAATAGACAAATCATTACTATAAACAGTCACTCAACACTTGCTAGGATTCATTAAGAACAAAAATCACATTTATGCTAAGCTTTACCTGGCACAATGGAACTTCCACAACTGCAAAGTTAAGTTTGACACGTACTTAAAGATTCCAAACCTTGGTTCAGCAGAAGCTTAAATCAATCACAGGGCTGTTTACCAAGGCATTAAACAACAACCAGAGGGAAAACAAGAGAAAAATACAGGCTGCTGGAGTGATACACAGTATTCAGAGACCCAAAATCTATACCTGGTGGCCTCAAAGCCCAGGAGCAGTAAAAAGAAGCTTACACAGCCTAGCAAGGATTTTTACGCTTTATCATGAAACAAGATGATGGACTCACCAGAGGAATAAAAACATTCTGCCACTAGATAATTTCCCTATTGACCCATGAAACTGTTTCATATATACATTTTTTTCATATTCTTATTAATCTATAACTGTTTTCCTATATATACTGACCCAAGAAACTGCATTTGTTTCACTCTTTGCTAAACAAAACATTTGTCAGAAGCAGGTGCTAAAAACAACAGAGACAGTAGTAATTCCTTTTATCCCACCTTCAGAAAATAAGACAAAAAGACAATATAAATTGAGAAAAAAGAAAACAAAATCATTGCTGCCTCCTTGTTACTAACACCTTACCAGACATGCAGTGAGAAACACGGATGTCCACAGATTTCAAAGAATATCCCTTAACAGCACCAGCAATCTTTTACACTAAAAACTCAGCATCATCTCAATTTGGTCAATGTCTAGTCTATAACTAACAAATCTGCCAGCTATGAAAGAGGCAGGAAGATCCCCAAGAGATTTTCAGTCACCTGTGGGAGCCAGACACAAAGTTCCCATTATCCACAAGTGAGCTGGGCTGCTCACCTAAACCCTCTGAGTGAAGGTGTGTGTCACCCCCACAAATAAAGTAGAAAAGGCAGCTGCAGGATGGAGCAATAAGGAATAAACTGTTGGGACTCCTACTTCTCTATGCTAGAAGGTGATAAGACAGGAAAAAAAATGGTTTGGGGTTTTTTCCAAAGGAAATCACAAGAAATAAGAAATAACGGCATTGTTGTGAAACAGTTTTACATGTTTGTTGTACCAATCTGTCAACATCAAGACCTGACAATACTGACAGTGACAGGTTCATACAGGGACGCCCCACCTGGATACTGTCATATCCCTCTCTGGGTCAACTCAATAATGAAATGGCCCCCATGGCTTTTCAAGGCTGAGTCCCAACACCCAGGCATTAAAATCTGCATGTTAGGATATTAAATCATGTGGTCTAACTTCTTCTGGAAACTGACTTCAAAAATTCAGCTTCATCACCAAAAATCAACACTTTCAAAAAAAACCCAAAACTGTATATGATGTATTACAGTTATGAATTCACACTGCCAGAGATGCTGTCTTATATTCAGTTTAACCACAGGCAACTGAAGATAAATAGTGAACTGCATCACCGGCAGTGGTATATATCTGGCTACAATGTACAACAAATGTACTACAAAATCCCTTGATTCAGGGGAGGGTGTGAGGAGCAACACATTCTAATAGTGCCACAGACAAAATGGGGATGAATACAAGGGGTAAACACCAAATTGATGTAAAATAGAAAAAGAGAACAAGGGGAAATAGGTATGAGAAAGCAAATGGAGCAGCTTCTCAGTCACACTGAGACCGCCTTCCAACGCTTTTGCAGGTTTGCAGCGTGGTGAACTTCACACAAGTCCAGAGCCCTGCAGTGCTGCTTTCATGTACATGAGAATCAGATGCAATGCACCCTCACATTACAGCTCAGAAGCGGATTACCAAAGGAAATCCAGACAAAGACATTTGCCCAGGAAACTACCCATTTATTTATGTGGCCAGTGAGCTGGGGAAGTGTTGTTTACCCTCTTTTTACACAGGAGATACAAAGATCAGCCTGAGGTACAGCAAGGATGCTCCAACAGTGGTGGCATCTAACCCAGGCTGACACTCTCAGAACTGAAGTGTCCTCTCCCAATTGCCTCTATTCACGCAGCTATCACCTACCCATGACTGTGTTATCATGAGTAACCAAACACCAATTTAGCAGGGGAAAAAAATAAAACTCACTAACCTCCTTTCATTCTGGGTTATTGTTCCATTCTCCAGCTTTTTAACAGTTGATGCTAAAACTTTGTTCGCATCATTGGCGAAGTCCAAGTCTCTGACCTCAGACAGAGGAACCGATACAATGGCAAAAGCTTCCTTGTCCTCTTTGGCTTGGCACGTCCCAATCTGCAATTGGTTTGGTTTTAAGTGGGATTTTGGTTTAAAGTGGGTGAGAAATCCTCTTACCTTTACCCTAATTATTATGCACATTTCATAGCTTAGAAGTGAGACAGCTTCAGGAATGAGTTTGGGATTTTGTTTACCTTTAACATCACAGGCCTCTCTTCCTCAGTGTCAATCGGGATGCTGGTGCTGGTGACCCAAGTGTTCGTGCACAGGTGCCTCAGTCGGACGTAGGAGTTCCTAAAGGGGACAGAGCAAACACAGCAGCTGAGATGGATCAGTCCTGAGCCCACGTGGGCAAGTGGTGTGCCCTGCAACACCTGCCTGTGGCATGAGGCTGGAGAGCAGGAGCCACACCAACCACTGCAATAAAAAGGGAAGGTGCACCTAAAAGACACTGCAATACCCCTTTCCCTTGACTCCTTCTTTCTCACCCAGACCAGAGCTGCAACAAGAACAGCCAGCATCTTGGGATTATGCAGAATGCTGGGTTTTAGTATTTATGTAAGCCTAGGAGAAAAATATTCCTCAAAGGAAAAAAACTAAAAGGAAGATGTTATAAAATCCCATCTGAACAGAAATACATTTCATGAATAAACCCAATTCTTTTATTATTTTTTTCCTGCAGAATAACGAACCCTTTTAAGCTGTCACAGCACAAAAGCCAGAAATTAAGATGACTGTGGTTTCACAGCTTCATCATTATGATCTGCAAACCCTTGTTCCAGAGCAAGCATTTACAGTACCAGTTCTCAACTGAAAATCAAGTAAACAAAGAGCAGATATCAGATCCTTCTAAATTCTTTCCATATGATAATCTGTGGTATTATCAAAAAGCAGAGCTGAGAAATCAATTACAATTTTAACTCTGAATTTTACTTTTGAAATATATTCACTATGGTCTCCATTCACGCTCTCCCTTTCACGCTGATGGGCTTTTGACTATTCAAGTAAGCAAATTATCTGGCAGAACTTAGCATAGCAAACACACTGCCAAGTCACATACATCAGTATTTGTGGGTACTCACCTTTAAAATCCACCCTTGTAACAACCAGCCCCAAGTGTCTGCAAGGTCATTCAGTTACAACCAACACTGTGTGACTTATCTAACCAATTTCAGCTATGCTACAAAGCTAAAATTTCAAATATTGACAATTAAAACCCAGAAATCACTTGCTGAATACTTTTGAATAAGAAATGTGCTCAGTGGTATCATGGTCTGTCAGCGAAACAGAAGCCCAGCTCACCTCACACATTATTTTGCTGGGAGCAATTCAGTTAAATCTACTAAAAGTACATTTTTTTCCAAAAGTGCACAGAGCTCAATTCTATCCTCACACAAATCTGTGCAATATTTAGACCATTATTTTTGCTCTTCACAGACTCAACGTGTCACTTGTTTTATCCTTATAATTATTTTGCCCAGTCACAGCAGCAGTATCATATTTTATACGTCCCTTATTTATCCATGAACACTCCTCAAATTTTAACAGAAGGATAATACTTGCTCATGTTTGCTTTTTTTCTTCTTTACTCACCAGCATAATGCCAGGAAGAAACCCTGTCAATGCAGCACTATTTTCTGCCCTTTTTATATTTCCTTTTTTTTTTTAAATTTTACCTTGGAACCAGGCAATCAGCTCTCTGAAGTGTGGTAGCATCCAGTTCAAAGAGAGATGCAATGTCATTTCCATGTGGCACAGAGACCAAAGTATACATAATCTTCTCCCCTGCCTGGCGTTTCTTCTTTGAAGCAGGAAGGTCGCCTTCTCTCTGCTGATTAGGCACAAGGGTTATTTGCTTGCATCAGGGCCCATTAGAAATTCTTCAATTACCTTCAGACAGGTAATACATCTGAATTTTTTTTTTCTACCTTCTAGCAAGAATCTACCACGACTGGCTTTGGAGTAACACAAAGGATGCATTTTGCTCCATGGGATCTCAGGCAGTCATTAGAACAACAGCAATCCACACGCTAAAGAGGCATTGCAGCACTGGATGTGCTTTATTGACACCTACAACTTCAAAAACCTGCAGTAGCTGCAGACCCCTCATTCCCACCTGATGCAACTACACAGTGCTGATCTGGAAAGGGCCACATTTGAAAGAAGAGAATGAATGAAAATTAGATTTTTTTTCTTTTTTTTTTTTTTTAAGACAAGCAGGGGATTTAAAAAGTAAGCAATTTGTTTCAATCTATTTTTGTTTTATGTAAGTTTGATGGCTTTTTTGTCTCAGATTGTAGAATCAGAGCAGCACGCTTTCAGAGAACCACAGAATCATTTAGGTTGGAAACGATCTCCAAGATCATCAAGTCCACCCTTTGACCACCTTGTCACTAAACTCACCACCTTGTCAACTAAACTCGAGCCATGTCCAGTTGTTTCCTGAATACCTCCAGGGACGGGGACTCCATCATGTCCCTGGGCAACCCCTTCCAATGCTTGTCAGACCTTTCCAAGAAGAACTTATTCCTGATGACCAACCTGAACTTCCCCTAGAGCAGCTTGAGGCCATTTCCTCTTGTCCTGTGGACACTCTCCAAAGAGCAGGACGCAGAACATCTGCTCCATCAGGACCAGCTTTTCATGGCAAGGGGGGCAGGCAAAGCCCCAGCTGGAGTGTATTACAAATCTCAGCACAGGTTGATAACACACCAAGGCTCGTCCAGCACAGGTCCTCTGCAAGGGCAGGAGTTGTTGCTCCCTTTGAGGGACAGAGTTACTCAACCAAAGCCCATGAGCTAAGGTGGGATCTGCCTCTCACCACGTGCTGAGAGCCCACGGGAATTTTGTGACCCCTTCCCTGAGAACATTTCTTGGCTTGATGGAGCATTCAGAGTCTGTGCCCATATCTACACAGCAACCAACAGAATTACTGGTGTGAGTAAAAGCTGCTCCTCTTGGGTGCCAAGTTATACACCTTAGAAAAGACTGATAACCAATTAAGAGACTGGCAGCCCAGGGCTATTCATGTACAAAAAATACATCACAGAGAGAAGAGGAATGAGGAAAGCCAAAAGAGAAAAAAATCCAACCCTGGAAGCATGAAATGCTATTATAATGATTTACAATACACCACTAAGGAAGAGCTGTACAACATAAAAGGCCAGACTGTACTTGGTTTGCATTAGTAACTTGATTAAAAACCAAACTGCAAGGGATAATCAAGGGCAAAGCTTTGATTATCCATATTGCCAATTGAAATTAAACAACAAAATCAAGGATGAACGAAATTATGGAAGAAAGGGTTAGTTATCAATTAATTTCAAGGCACTTTTTGAATCCTTCCAAAACATCCATTTTTTCATTATTAAGCTTACAAAATGCCAGCTTTCCATCCCATGACTTCTATCAAGGATGGAGAGAGCAGAAAAAAAAAAAAAAAAAAAAAAGAAAAAAAAACCCAAAAGAAAACCAGAAAGAAATTTTTTCTTAGGCTCCTCTAGTCATTAGAGTATTGCCACAAGTGTTTGAGAGGAAGGCTTGCTAAGACTAAGAGCAACCATCTCCTGTGACATGCACAAGAGTAAAACTCATCTGACAGGCCCCGCACCCTCTTATATCTTATGCCCAAAAATACTACTGAAAAATGCACAAAATATTTAACCTATATGAAAAGATTGAGAAAATAGCAAATTGCTTTTGTGATTTCCATATATATTTTGTTGTACGTACTCATGATGAGACACAAACTGAAAAGGCATAGAAACAATTAAAAAAATCCTTCGGAGAGCTTAACAGGTGTGAGTCAGAGTATAATATTAAATGAAAAACTACTTCCTACACTTCATAATAAAACAGAAAACTGGAAATCCAGTTTAAAATCCAAGAGGTCTGTAAAGGGGTGAGTAGTACAGGATAGTTTAGAACAGCATCCAAACTTTTTGATATTTTCCACAACTTACATTGAAATTTAATTAGGGTTTCCCAGAAACTACCCACTTCATTATAATTCCAAACTGAAATGACTGGTATACAGCAAGGCAGAACACTTCATAATTGTAGGGTTTTCTTTTTATCCTGAGTAAAATACAGACCGAAATATGAAACCATACTGGGAGGGAACATGGACAGGACCCCTGACCCAGACTGGGCAAAAGGATATTCCCCACCACAGAACACCATGACCAGTGTATAAAGTGGGTGAGCTGGCAGGAAGCAGAGTCAGAGGCAGGTCTACTGTGCTTTAGCAGTTCACAACCATTAGCTCTGTGGAAAAGTTCACCCAGCAGTTTGGGGCTAACCCTGCTCATTCCCCGGTGACCCCAGCAGTTGTATAGATCCAGCTGAGCAACAAGTTTACCAGCCCTAAATGGTTTTCTTTTTATCCTGAGTAAAATACAGACCCAAATATGAAACCACACTGGGAGGGAACATGGACAGGACCCCTGACCCAGACTGGGCAAAAGGATATTCCCCACCACAGAACACCATGACCAGTGTATAAAGTGGGTGAGCTGGCAGGAAGCAGATTTAATAAAAAACAAAAAAAAAAAAACGCCCAGGGGAATTACATGGCAGGAGTATAGAGAACTGTGGGTAAAACAATATTACCAAATAGTATCTTCCTGGAAGGAAAATTTATATAGCTTTGATTGTCACGAACTACAACAAGCGAGCAGCAGGCTGTCACAAGTCACATCAGACACATATCCAAATGTGAGGAAGATGCAATCACATCATTCTTGTGCACTGGTTAAATCATTCACGAGGATCAAGGAGATCACACATTGAGTTCTGCTTTTGCCCAGCAGGAGTAGGACCCATCCCTTCCAAACAACCCAGTGTAAGTATCAGTGGCACAAAAAGCAGTCAGCTCCTTCAGCCTGAGAAAACCTCAGTGTGCACTGGCACAGGGAGCTGTGAGCCCCAATCCTTATTCTGCAGCAGCAAAGCTCGATAATCACATCCAGGAAGGGGAACGGAGTAAACCCCCATGACACCGCCAGGGAGGGACCAACCTAGGAAAGCAAAGGCTGAAGATTCAAAAACAGAGTCCTAGGCAGTGAGAAAAAACACCATTTTGGTGAGAAGGGGAAATATTGATCCAGGCTCACAACAAAGTCTGTAACTCCTGGGCTATCACCACTGATTTACAGTGCATTATGATTTTCAAAGAAGCTTAAAGAGAAGAAACAATCCAGACATACTGATTGCCATGTGGAGGGCAAATGTAAGGAGAGACAAATCCCATGCTGGAATCAGTGACAACGTAATCAGGTCCAATCAGATTTGTCCTCCTTGAGACTTACAGCTCAGCGGATAACCTTTTTCACAGCTCTTAACAGAATTTGCTACTATCCCAAAACTTCCTTTTTTAACTCAACTGGGCATCATACCTAAAATTCAAGAGATCTACATGGAGTTCTGCTTACAGAAGGGCCTTCATTTCAACTGCAAAAAGCAATCCAAAAACATTACAGACCTAAAATAGCTTTTCTTTTAGAAACCCAATCTACAAGTCCAATTGGCGAAGACACCTCTTGTGGCATAGAGACAGACAAGGATAATGCCCTGCTCCTGAATAAATACATTAAGCTGCACTACAGATTTCAGCAGAAATTAAATGTAATAGCAGCCAGAGTTCTGAAAATGCCTGTTAAATCCAGAGCAATGTGGTATCTCAATACGCTAACCCAGCTCAGGAGGCTCTTACAAAACCAGCATTTTCACAGAGCAGTAACGTGAGCAGAACTCCATAGGTTAGATTATTTTTAAAATTCCTTATGAGAAGAAAATTGAGTAAATGAATGGCCAGCCTTGCTCCTGCCTGATAGGAGCCCTGGCAGACAGCACAGCAGTTAGCCTCCTGTAACACCTTCACTGTTGACTCATTTGTGAGTCATTGCATTTTTAGCAGAGACATCACGTTGCAATCCTGTTGTTAGGAGCCAGAGACATTCTGTAAGAAACAATGTATGCATTTCCAGAGCTGATTCAGACCCGTGTGCAACAGCAGAATAATAATAATGTGCCAGCATCCGTGTCTCCCCTTCTCCCCCAGACTCCTCAGTGGTTTGACTGCTGACTTTATATAAGCTGCCATTTTTAAGCTGATGATTTTTCTTTTCTCTTTTCTTTTCAATGTTTTTCAGATTGTCTATTCTACTTGTTTAAACGGCATCACCCATATAAAATATATCGTTCAATAAAGGTCATTCCTGGAAGGTAAAATAAAATATTTTTTAAAAATTAATTTACAGTTTTTATCAGAAAAAAATAATCTGGGTTGGCAGCAAGAAGGAAAAGTTAGAATTGCAGAATGCTGAAAATTCATAAAGATATATAAACAGAAATCAAAGGAGATGTATCAAATTGTACCAGGCAGCCCACGGTAGAACTGCCCAACTTCCTTACAAGATAAGTAAGTGCATACCAGTATCAATCCTAACAAAAATCTCAGCAATAAAAGACGGGAACTGGTTAGAATTAGCCCTCTCATGAAAATGCAGACAAATGGAGATAACATACCCATCCAAAGTCAGCCTTTAACACAAAGGCACTAACAAATGCCAGGTTCCCAACTGCTCCTGACATTTCTTGGATGTTTGTAGCATTCTTCTTGATGCTGCACATTTCTCTCCTTAGAACAAGCATAGTGATTTGCAGCATAAAAACCACCAATTTTGGGTCTAGTGGGGGCTGTAACACAGAGCACTGCATTTTGATACATGATACACTACAATCTCCTAGACTGTAAGAGATGAAGATTTAAGACCCTTAAATCTCAAAAAGTCTTCCCATTTAAAAAAAAAAATTATTCTGGAGCTTAGATGTGGGAATATTAATCAACTCATTGTAAGGCCAAATTTTACCAGAATTAAAAGCAGTGCTTCACAAGACAATTTGGCTGGATAGTCAAGAAGCAGCTCATAAGCAATGAACCTCAGTCCAAACATACCTTTAACACTTGGGAACAGAAGTCCCGGTGACTTCCAGTAATATTTATGTTCTCTGGAGACAAAACCCTTTCAGACTCTGGAGTCAATTAAGGCGAGGCAGAAAAGATATGCTTAGGCAGAACTTTGGTGTCTGTGCCCAATGCTGCATATCATGGAAAACCATTCTCCATTGCTGCTTCCCAAAATTCAGTTGCCTGAGCAACTGGGATCAGGCCCTGTAAACCAGGCCGTGAATACGCACAAGCAGCCCCAGCACATGCTGAGGAGTTCAGGGTTGGCACAGAATGCACAGATGGCTGTGCTGCCTTTAAACAACAGAGAAGGAGCTGCTACCCTTTCATCCAATAGCCCAGTAGAGAAGAGAGTCCCTAGATGGGTCAGGCTGAAGGGACCACAGTGGGTCAGTTGGTCCCACCTCCCTGCTCCAGCAGGGCCATCCCAGAGCACAGGACACAGGATTGTGTCCAGAGAGGTCTGGAATATCCCCAGTGAGGAGACTACACACCCTCTCTGGGCAACCTGTGGAAGAAGTTCTGCCCCCTGTCCAGGTGGAGCCTCCTGGGATCAGTCCCTGCCCGTTCCTCTGGTGCCATTTCTGGGCCCCTGGAGCAGAGCCTGGGCCCTGCTCGGAGCCCTCCCTGGAGACAGGGACACCCAGGGCTGAGGGCCCCTCTCAGCTGGGGCTCCTTTGGAGGCTGGACAGCCCCAGCTCTCTCAGCCTTTCCCTGCCAGAAATGCTCCAGGCCCTAAATCATCTCTGCATCCTTCACTGGCCCCAGTCCAGGAGCTCCCTGTCCCTCCTGTGCTGAGGAGCCCAGGACTGGCACAGCACTGCAGATGTGCCTTCCAGGGCTGGGCAGAGGGGCAGGATCACTCCCTGACCTGCTGGCAATGCTCTTCCCAGTGCACCCTAGGACACCACTGGCCTTCTTGGCTTCAAGGGCACAGGCTACAAGTTCAGCCCTTCAGTCACAAGGAATCGTTCATTCCTCTCCCATTTCCCTGCTACTCAGACTTCAAATTTCACTGGGGTAGGTCCACTTCAACCTCCCCACTCCAGATTTACTTCATGGGCAGTATTTCAAAATTAATTGCTTCAAAGGGTGGAAAAGAAGATGCCTTTGCTGTGAGCCAGTAAGGCAGTGACCAGGCAGAGGAAACACTAGATGATAACCACAGAGCAAGGAAAGCCTGTGTGCTCCTGGTTACACGCTATTGGATACAAGACTGACATAGCTGACCCGCTAAGAACTCCAAATATTACAAGATTCTTTTACTTTTGAGGGACAATTCAATGCACTGCATCATTGTAACATAAAAGAAATTCCTGCATAGGGATGTGAAGTTTCTATATTGGGTTGCTCCAGGGCAGAATGAAGGCTTAAATAGCCATTGCTGACTCATGGCATTTTCAACAAGATTATAAAGGGGTGAAGGATCCAAAAGGATTTTTACCACACTAATAGAGCCTGTGGGCTTGGATTTGCATGGAGGTGTCACCAAAAATTGCTAGAAGGTCTTCCACAAAATATCTTTAATAGGAAAGTGCTGACTGCATAAATTAAAATTTCCACAGAGATATCAGCTTTGATCATCAATCAGCTTTAATTACTTTTTTTATTGGAAATATTTCTCTAATGTGATTTATCTGGTCTGGGGTTTTAGCTGAAACCAATACCCAGGAAGAATAAGCCAAACTGGTAGTGAAACCACCTTTAACATTCATGCTTAGTTTACATTTGTGTCTTTGTCATTATCCAGTCCAGGGAATATTTAACTATTTAGATGAACTGGAATGGCTACAGAGAGCAAACTTACACCATAAATAAGTATGGTGTGGTACAATAGGATTGGCTCCTCAGTGACAAGGACCTAACACCTACTCACTGGGGAACTCTAGAACTGACCTTGATTTCCATTCCAAAGCTTCAAAGGGCTCAAGTTTCATTCCAATACAAAAGAGAAACAACTGGTGGAACTTCTGTACTTTCACAGGAAAGAATTCTCATTTCTCTAGACAGCTTAGCTGTTATTGCAATATCACCACTAATACCAAATATTAGGGAAGATGGAAAACCAATGTTGCCAACTCCTATGAAAGGCTTCATTTTTATTAAAATTGGAGTCCTCAAGGCATTTAATTATGTAAGAATCTTAAGCTTCTTCAGTTTCTTCTCATGAAAAATCAAAAATTTCTTCCCTGTACAGAGAAAAACTTGAAAATGTGTCCTCCTGAAGAACAAAAGCCGTAAGGCAAGCAGAAAGAAATTAAATTGAATTTTTTTGAAGAAGATCTCAGCCTTTCCAAGGCAATCTCATTAATCTGATGGAGGAATTATTCTTTTTGGGAATATTTGTTGACTCAGTAACAATAAGAATCGTCCAAGGAGACTTCTCCCAACTCCACTTCCTTCACACACCATAATCTCCATGTCTGGCCTCATTAGTCAGAATTAGCTATAATGCTCTTGGTGCTGTACCAGGCAAAGTCTGTTGCCATGAAGTAATGCATCTGAGCTGAGAAGAACTAATACATTTCATATCCACAGTCAGACAACAAGCACAACAGCTTCAACTAATGCCACTTTGATGCAGAATTTGAGTAAGTTTCTTATCATTTGCCTCAGAGTGAGGGAAAACTTTCTGAATTGCCAGTTCTGAAATGCATCATACCTTACACAGGATATGGAAAACAATCCCAGCAGCTGGAACACATGAGGAAAAGAAAAGCTATGAAGAGCTTCCATATGTTAGAATCTGCTAGGTTAAGGATACAGCATTCCCCAAACTATATGCAACATATAAATTCCACTTACCAAAGCTTTTCCTTCATTATTACCTTCTGGGTAGTGTGAGTTAAGCTGGAAAAGAAAAGAAGTCAAATACTATCCTGATAGCTTTCAGACATTTCGTAACTGGGGGAGAGGGTTTGGTTCAGTTCTCTGTTATGTGTCCACCCTGCAAAAGGAGAGTGGAGTTTTAGAAGCAGCGTGAGTGTTAAAGACTCACTGCTTCAATTTCTGGCTGACTTAGCTGGCTATGTCCTCACCTCTAGAAAGAGCATCTTGCAATCAAGCTTGTTAACTCAAGAGGAATCTCAAATAACCAACCCCAAAAAGGATTATGAAGAAAGCACAATTACTATTCTAAATGCAGCCAGTTATATTCACCCACGCACATGCAATCAGTTCCAGGACTGACCCTGGGCAGATAGATTGAGATAAAAAAATAACATTCTCTATGTCTGCTGAGACTTTACAGGAGAAGACAGTGAACTCATTACTAACACATCTTTGAAACAGGAGTGACAATGCCACTAGAGAAAATTATTTCATTACACTGTAGTTCTGTTTAACCATTATTAATATCATTAATATTTTCTATGTCATATCAGGATTATCAAGCATTAATTAATACTAAAGTACTATGAGAAGCTTGGATGAAAGATGCTATACAATAATAAATTTAAAGTATTACTATTTAAAAGCTGTTTAATATAATAATTTGACAAGGAAAATATGTAGCCTATAAGACGAGGGATTATGTAGGCAGACATATTCACAAATAAACAAAAACATACACACCCACTCACTAGCTGCACATAAAACCTTTTGAGATTTGATTTACATGAAGAAACAATTTTGTGTCAATATTTACCAATATTCCCTGACACAGGATATGATGAAAATGCTGAAGTAAGATTATAAATTATAAAAGACAATTTTGTTCTTAGGCAATTACAGTGTGTATACATCTTACAGATGAGTACTGTCATTTTCTTGGCTTGAATTTGGCATTACCAGTGTGGAAGAGTCAGGAGAGAGTTGCACAGGGCAAGATGCACGAGTCCCAGTGGAACTTTTCAACGGCACATTATCATACATCTAACATTACACAGACAACTGTTGTGAAGAGATTTTGTTACGTTCATAACACTTTTACTAAAAAATAATCATTTATATCTCTTTAACCCCTCAAAATGCCTGCTCTTTTCCACAACAGAAGCCTGAAGAAAGGAGGAAAACTTTCAAGTCTTTGTCAAGTGGCTGAAAATACCTTCCCTACATGTCACAACTTGATGTGCTAACACAGAAATGACCAAGGGTTTATTCTGTCTCCATTTAATTTTTTGCATTAGCCACTGTGTTACCGTTACACACCTAATTTAGAGACCCTGCCTTCTTCCCTGTGCTGACACCTGTCTCAAATAGTCCATTTTGCTCCTCCCTGACATTCTCACAGTCTCCCAACTCCAAGTACCTCTTGCTACCGCTATACAGCAACAGGAATGAGAGATGAATACCAAAAAACTAGAACTTATACACATATGCAACAGTCTTCATGTAGTTTTGGTTCCTTCTTAAGTTTCCACAGTTCTTCCAGCATGACATTTGTTCACCTGACACCTTAAAATAATTCTGGTGTCCCAATTTTAGCAGCCAAGCTGAGCTCTCTGCCTTTGGTCCCCCATCAAGAAGAGACAAAATTAGCAGGTAATGCCCCTCAGTCCCAGCAGTGCACTGTGGCCTTCCTGCAAAGGTGCACAGAAGGTACAGGAAGGCTGAATTTCTATGCTACCTTCAGATAATGCTGGTTGCAAGCAAGCAAGAAAAAGTTTGGGTCATCTCAGGTTTGTCACTAGAGCCAGCACAGAGAACTTGGCACTGGAGACTTGATCCTACGGGTTTTCATTGAAGGACTCAAGTGAATAGAGTTGCCTATCCAGTATGAACTGAATTCTGGTATCCTTCAGCTGTTTACTTTCAACACAATGGTGATTAAAATATATAGAGATATTTATAACAGTAACAGGAGAAATTAGGAGAATCTCCCTCCCTTAACATTTTCTGACTTCTTGAAAAATGACTGAACAGACTGCCCTGAGACTTCCAAAACAAGTTACTTGTAGACTGAGAGTAATGTAGACAGGAGACTCAGGTGAGAAATCAGGTACATCCTTGATGATGCTTTTTCTTACCCTACTGTTACAGAAATAATAAAACCAAAAATTTTTTTAGAGAAAGTTTTGAGATGCTGACATTAAACCACAAACACAATGGAACTCAGTTTTCAGGCTGACATCTACGGCCCCATTTTCAGCTCTGGTCAGCAGTTGCCACTTTGATTTTCATTTCAGCTGAGATTGTTGGTGCTGAGACTTTCTAAAAAACAGACCTGTAGCTATTATCCCATGCTCCATTCTCCAGGTAGAAGGGGCATAAATCATCTACAGTTGTGTGTCATATTACACCTGTCCTGAGTCCCTTTCAATATCCCAGCCCAGTATGACCTAAGGACAGAGTGACAGTCTCAGAACTCCAAAACCTATTGCTTTTTCTGATTTATGTAAGATCACTTCCACATTTCTCAAAAAATTGCCAAAACAAAAGAAGCCTTGAAAAGAACAACATCAATATTTTTATCTTGCTACTAATGAAATCAAGTAAAATTTTCTTCAGGTGTTTAGAAAGTAAGAATGTTATGCTAAAATAGGCTTCAATAAAGTTCAACACTTTTCAAGCTTTTTTGTGTCATTGGATGTCTTGAAATTTCAATTTACTGAATTGTACCTGAAATACAGCAGTAAATATTCCTGCAAAATGCCACTGGAAGGTGCATGCAGCTAATATGCACCAAGAACAAGAATTGCAAACTGCAGAGCTTAAGCAAGTGCAATTGTATAAATTATTATTGTAATAGTTTCATTATATGTTGTTTTAGGTCTGGTTTGATTTGTTTTTTATTTTTGAGTATATCAGCTTATTTTCCATATAGAATTCTTTTCAGTAAAGAATAATCCAGAAATCCTAATCCTCTGTGGCTTGTTTTTCAACAAACTCAGGTATAGTAATTTTTTACCCTTCCATGAATGGGAAAGAAAATGGTAGCACAAAAAGAGTTTCTCATCTACATTTCTCATTCTGGAGTTTAGAGACAGATTTTCCACCACAGAGAAGGCAACACCTTCTTTTAAATCTACATTTAAATAGCATTTAGTTGCACTCCTCCTCAAGAAGCCAAATTCTCAAATTGTGATCCACACCAGGTATCTGAGAGAGCCTGAAGGTGCTCAGGCTCAGGAGTCAGTGCTGCAGTAGTCCTCCCAAGTATAAAAACTGGGGTCTCTTGCACAGATTTCAGGCTCAGCCTTGGTACACAGTGGCATGTGAAAAGATTAGATGTCTGAATGCATACATATATCAGCATCCTCATCCTGTGAGAACAGCAGAAGGCCCCCAGGAGAAAGTATGTATGACAAACTCATAATAGAAGTCAGCTTTTACACATGGAAAACTGAGGTATACACAAAGTCTTTATTTCTGGTTAAAACCACATGGACAGGCAAGAAATCTCATTCCTGAATTTTCACCTAGTGACTTTACAAAATCTGTAAAGTCTGCATAGCAGGAAGGCAACTTTCATCTCTGTGTGTTTGTGTGCTACTGCTAGTATTTGGTGCTCAGAGTATACAAGTGACCTGCTAATCCTGAGAGGGATTCTACTACATTGAGCACCAGAAGTTCCAGGCTCTGTCATCTCTACTGATTAAAGCTACTTGTCCTAGGGTGACGTTATGATGCTTGTATCCCCAGTCATCTGCTCTGTTTATGCTGGATATTATGTTCTGTGCCTTCAAGACTGGCTCTGAAATCAGCCTGCTCACTCCCCCACAGATGGCAGGACGCAGAGACAGGGCAGTACTTCGAGCTGCTGTTGTTTTGGCTTTTGCTTTTTGCTCTTGCTTTCGCTTTTTGCTCTTGTTTTTGCTTCTGCTTGTTAGTTAGTTTAGCTAAGCAGTCCAAATTTTCCCTGGACTGCTTTTCTTTCCCTTTCCTTGGAACCACTCGAGCCTGCTCCGGACTGAGACCTGCGAAACACCAAGAGTTTTGCACCTGTGGCCTGCAGCAGTCATTCCCAGCGTCGGAGGGACCAACAACAGAGTGACCACTCCCAGGAGAGACTTTCTGAATTTGTCATCTTTTTCAGAGCGGTGAAAGAGCGTTGCCATCCAGTATTGTTCATTTTGTGTGCTGGGGGGTGCTTTGCCTGTTAAATAAACAGGTTGTTTCCACTTCTCTCTCTCGAACCGGTTATGGGGAGGGACTGTGTGGGTTTGCTTTCTGAAGGGGCACCCTTTGTTGGTTTTCTCCCAAATTTGCCCTAAACCAGGACACTACTCAAAGTTGTACCTTAAAGTTTTCAAACCTCACAAGTTTACAGTGCATAATTTCCTAGGGTTCTACTATTGGCCAGATCATCTCACAGGTTATTCCTGGCTTTAATTTTACTTTTGCATCTTCACATAGTTAGATACCCTTTACAATCCAATAAGTTTGAAACTCCACATTTCTACTGAATGTTGTTTTCTTGGAGGAATACATGGAAAGTACCCAAACAGGCTATTTTTGGACACTTAATTAAGAAGGAGAGAGAAGTTTGGGGAAAGAAACACCCATGCTGATCTTAATCAAATTTTGTTGAACATTTCAATGACTTGGTTAAAACCTGCATTTATGAAGGAAGCCCTGACGGACAAATCATAAAAGGATCTAATTCAACACACTCAAACAGTCCCCATTTCATTTGATAACCAGCCTGTTAACACACAGCCTGTTACCCAGCCAACAAGGGCAAGCGTTTTGGGGAAGAAAAGCCAGGACAAAAGAAAAATAATCCACTTTTCAAATCTTTCGTCTTCATTAGGCTTGCTTTGTTCTTTGTTAATGTCATACTGATTAGCTTTCAATAAATCCAAAGGACTTTTGCACAATTTCAAAGACTTTCCGTAGCATTCAAAGGACTTTTGCCATCTTATTAACTTGCCAGACAAAGGCTGGCTACAAGTCTACCTCGCTAAACT